CTCTGGCCCGCCCACCCCACTCTCCTCCCCCTCCTGCTCCGCCTCCCTTCAGGTCCTCTACCTTTGCTCCAACCCCCTCTCCGGCCCCATCCCCGATACAATCAGCTCTTTTAGTCGCCTGTTGCGCACGCGCCTCGACACAAATGCTCTCACATGCGCGATCCCTGCCGCTTTGCGCAAGATGGAAATCCTATAGAGGCGTGGGTTGCCGTATAATAGGCTTTCATGTGCCATTCCCGCGGTTTGGCCGGCAAGGTTATGGCAAGTGAAGCTAGTAGAAACCGGGCTTAGAGGCCCATTCTAACCAGAGACTCCTAACTTTTGTGGAACCCGCTGCCTGCTTGTGCATAGATCAAACCAAATCAGCACTGATTGCGCATATTATCGTCTCTACTTATATTACCCTTGTTTGAAAGATCATATTCCAAGCAAGATGCAGAGGGGATCAGTTGGGGTAGGGAGCCTCAATTGCGAGCAAAGATGCTTGCTTACATCTATGCGAGTCCCCATTTACACTATTTCACACGCCCCCCTTCCCCCCGCTGCCTTTTTTTAAATAAATAAACCCAGATCTTACCGTCTCTCTTCATATTGCATGTGAAAAAAACCTTCATTCATTTACAGGATGTGACACCTGTGGTAAAACATAGCAGAGCTTGGGTTATTTCGGATCTTGGGTTGTCGCAGGCTTCGAATGAATTTGTAACACGTCTGTGACTATGTTGAGATGACTGAAGTTGACTTGACATTGCTCGGCTGTTTGTTGACTGAGGGGAGCACCGCATCGCACTCCAGCATCACAAAGCTAGACTGAAGTTGACAAGACTGGACATCGGGAGCAGTGTTTTCAGCTTCCAACCAGCCCCTTCCCTCGTCAACCCTCCCTTGCCTCCAATCAATTATCGCCTTCAAGTGCCTTCACCTCACTAAACCTTATCTGAACCAGCCCAACCCGTAGCAACCTACTCCTTATCCATTCACCCCTGTCCCTCAGTAGCGGTGCTTGCTGGACTGTCAAAATTGGCTCACAAGAAGTTATCTGCACACACCAGAGACTGGTCCATCTCTCTATACATAGAATTTCTTGCATGAAACGCGTTATATTTCTATTTTTGGCTTGAGTAGGTATTGCTTCTCGGAGGATAAGTACCGAAGCCAGGAGTCACAGTTTAACACGGGGATCACATACATGGCAGCCACAGATTACCCTCGAGTCGCGTGCAAAATCACAGTAGCTTTCAAAGCTTTGCGCGTTCACGCTAAAATCACAGCGTTTCTCCTCCTGCTCCTCCTCTGCTCATCAACGACGGCCTTTGGGCCCATTACGAGGCAGCGGCTTGCTACTGGCCGCGGACAAGGAATTGCCAAGGCGCGGACGGTTCTGCCTCCTGCGGCACAACTCCTCGCTGCCCGAAGGGCGGAAGAAGCGTCCTCAGAGACATTTTCATCCGCAAAAGAAGCATCTGTCACGGAGCGTGCGGTATTGGCGCCAGTGGGCGGCGGAACCAGCTCCCCTTACAGCTCCCCTTTAGCGTTGCGCGTACCCGCAGCCTCGCCGCGGCAGGCTTCTGCGGCTAGCACGGCAGCTCTCAAGGCGATCTTCACGGCCGCGCTGCTGCCTATCCCTACGAAGGAACCCAACGCTTGCGCGTGGCCTGGTGTGTCATGCGCCACAAACGGCGCGGTTGTCGAACTAAACCTCACGAGCACCGTCAGCCTTGACTTGCTCCCACCCACGCCTAGCCTTTGCAATCATCGCGAAAAAGGAAAGTTGCGATTTTTGGCCTCCAAAGGTTTTTCTGTGTAAACCTTGCATACAAGTTGCGCACAGTGTCCAAAAAACAGCGCACGAAATTCGCAACATTCTGTACACCAGTGGCGAATGCGGATACCTGCGGAGAAATGTCACCGCAAAGTTGCTTTTCCGTCAACATTTTCGCGTCACTCGGTTTCGAGCGTTCAAGAGAGTTTGAAAGCGGTTTGGCAGGTTAACATTTACAATGACCAGGGTAACATCAAATTTTACGAAACAAAAGGACCTCACGAAATTTAGCGAGGTTGCACAAGTGGATACATCGGTTTCGTTTACTCCCAACTCCGAACCCAACCCCCCAAACCAACCCACAAACGCAAGCTGGTTTCTTCAGAGGTCTGACGTGTGAGCCAACAAATCAATTTGAACCAATCATGTTTGTGCTGTGAAGAGTCAATCAATTGACACCATCCGTTATCCACACGTCAGCATACGCACCCAACCATCCAAAAACGTCCACCTTCACCGTGGGAAGCTTTCTCCCATGATTCTCCCCCACACACGTACCTCGCGAACTAAAACCAACCACCTATCTCAGACACCTCTCCTTGTTCAATTTTTGTTCAACGTCCACCAGAAGCGCTCTCCTGGTACCTGCGCCAACAACTAAGTCCTCATGTTAATCTCACTATTATGCCACTTATTTACCGACGATTTCTCCGTCTCCTTCCGTGGTGAACATGTGCACGGCAGAGTTAACTTCATTGACTCATTCTGGACTTTCTCCCTTCCATTTACCCTAACATTCCCCTTTCCAGGTCGAACAGTTACAACACGTTCGCGGATGAAACGCGTCGCGAAATATTGAAGCTTAGCAACACGTTCGGTGATGTATACGTTTTTCATGGTTTCGCCATATCTCATGTTTGCAGTCTCAAGTCATGTTACCTTCTTATGTTTGCATCTACATCTTTCATTCTGTTAGAGACTACCAGTGTGCAGCATCTCACTTATCGCCATGCTTAACTGCCGTGGCTAGAGCGATGCAGCTGACTATCACGAACGGGTTATCACTAACCCTACCGTAGCAAGCTCAGAGACGTGCTTAACAGCAGCCTTGTGTGTGCAGGTTTCAGAGATGTGAACGTCATCGCTTACATTTTTTTTCTTGCAGGAGTATAAGTTTCGACTTTCGCACATGCGTATTTTGCAGGGTGTACCTGTTATTGCAAGCTTATCGTCAACCAGTATCGCAGTATGTATATTTTCCAACATTGAAGCGTTCTACATTATTACTAACCCCAATGGTGAGTGTTGGAAACGCAATGTTGGTTTGTTGTTAACAAGTCCATGTCTGTTTTTCCAGTTGACATTTTCTTACCTTGATGAGTTTTACTTCTTTCAGAGAAGCAGGTGTAGAAACCTAGCAATGCAGGATAAGTTAGGCGTAGATGTAGAATAAAAGAATGTGTACAGTTTGTGTGCGCTGTGAATACTAAGTATACTGTAAAGAGAAACAAATATTATAGTAGAACTTCTCCTAATGTTGGGTCATTTAAATGCGTCGCAAGGATTTTTCTAGAAATCGCCAGCCAATCGTTATTTGTTACTGTACACCAAATCGCAGGATACAATTGGTCTATTTCGCAGTATCTCGTGCGTCGGACCAGATTCTAATCCGACGGTTGTCGTAGAGTACAATAATCGCCACGTCAGCGTGTCTGAGTTTCATCTAGAGTACGGCGTACGCCACGTGGCGTCGTCATGACACTTTCGCACAGGTTGCTCAAAGTTGACGGAAATGTTGCTTTACTGTATACTTGGTCAGTTGCCCCAATGTGTACAGTTAGAGACGGAACAGTGCCTGGGAGGTTGCTTTGTAAGTGACTGTCGCCATGCAGTTCTAAAACCTTGACTTGAAAGCGCCGGGCAAAAAATATCAGGAAAGTTGCGGGCGAGTGTATTTTTAGTTGCTTTTCGCACTTCCCCTTTTCGCGATGATCGTACAGCGCGCGACCCCGGAGGACAGTTCCCTGCGATCCTCTCCGAATCTATCGGCCAGTTAACGGAACTTGAGGAGCTGTATATGTTTAACCTTTGGCTTGCCGGCTCGGTCCCACGATCCCTTTCCCGGCTAACGAAACTCGAGACTCTCGACCTTGACAATAATTGTTTCGCTGGTCCTCTTCCCGTTGCCTTTTTTCGCCTGCCAAAAATTCAAGTCCTGATCGCAAGGCATAATTTCTTCTCCGGGCAGTTACCGCAACGTGCTGCTGCGTACGCCGGATGGGGCTCACTTGAGATTCTGGATCTCGGAAAAAATTGGCTGTCTGGGCAGGTTCCTACTGCTCTCGCAACTCTACCGAAACTTGCGGGGTTGTCTTGGAACACGAACGCGATGTCTGGGATCATTCCACCTGCCCTGCTGGAAAGGGATTGGTGGATGCTTACCTTGTATCGGAACAAGCTTTCCGGTGACCTGAGCGGGTTGCAAATAAAAGCCCAAATGATGATTAACTTAAGCCAGAACCGGCTGGCCGGGAACTTCAACACGATTCAGTTCAGCGAGTCCCTAGGATTTATCGACGTATCAGAGAATTCGTTCTCGGGCTCCTTTCCGCAGATCTTGTGCCGTCCAAACAGCCCTACAATAGCTGACTTTTCGCGCAATCGCCTGACCGGAGCCGTTCCAGGGAACTGTTTCAAGCCCAAGAATTCTCTGGAAGAACTCTATTTAAGCCACAACAATTTCTCGGGCAGCTTGCAGCCGTTTTCAAACCTGCCCAAGGGAATCATTCATGTGGACCTGGGATTCAACAAGTTTACAGGGGGTATTCCCCAGGGTCTCACCACTTTACCCCAGCTAAGCTACTTGGACCTCGGAACAAACGCTCTCACAGGTAACTAGCAGGGAATCCACCTGTAAGTAGTCTACCGTTTCGAGGAGGACTAGTTACACCACACACTCCTCACTTGTGTCTGCTTTGTTCCATGTACTTTCCTCCCATCCCTTGCCCCTATTGTTCTAGCAAAGTCAGCATGCCCTTTACATTCCTTCACGCTTGTAACATAACCTTCCCACTCTTTCTTCATGCTTTCCCGCCCTCCTCTCCCTGCTCCACACCGTATTTCTCCTCTGTAGGTCCCATCCCTGCCTCGTGCCAGGCCCGTCAAGCCCCGATTTCCCCAACCATAAAACTGATTTTTCAGGATTCTCATTCCCACTCCCCTGTCTCTCTCTCAATATTCATCCCCCATCCCACAGGTTCCAATCCTCAATGCATCTTACAACGACTCTGTTTCTTCCTCCCCTTGTCTCTTCTCTCCTTGTTGATCCCCCCACCCCACAGGTCCCATCCCCGCCTTCTGCCAGGGCAAGCAGGCCCTCACCTTCCTCAGCCTCGCCTCCAACGCCCTCTCCGGCCCGCCCACCCCACTCTCCTCCCCCTCCTGCTCCGCCTCCCTCGCCCATCTTTACCTCTCCTTCAACAGCCTCTCCGGCCCCATCCCCGCTACAATCAGCTCCTTTACTCGCCTCAAGGGCCTCGGCCTTAATAGAAACAACCTCACGGGGCCGATCCCAGCAGGTGTGAGCAATATGAAGCAGCTGCGAGGACTAGGGTTGGCATCTAACAAACTGACGGGTTCCATTCCCGCAGCTTGGCCGGCAAAGGTACGGCAAGTGCTGCTGGCAGGGAACCGGCTGTCAGGGGCTGTTCCGGCTGCTCTGAGCAAGCTGAATCGAGGCTCTTTCAAACCAGGGAACCCCAACTTGTGTGGGAAACCGCTGCCTGCTTGTGCTTATGAATTAAGAGCATCTTGCTTGTGCTTATTGATTATGCAATCGGCAACCAACCCTGGTGACATAAAGAAAGAGTGGCAGCAGCAGTGGCTGCTACAATCTTCTATGTTCTTATATCTAGTGTACCATCTCCTCCCATATGCGGTACACTCCAGAAAATTACAACCTCAATAGTTGAACGTACTGGCAAGTAGAAACAAGAACATGGTACTGGTAAGTAGAAAAAGAAGAAAACTAATCCGATAACTGTGTGGTCATATCAAGGCAATTGAATGTTTCAAAGCTGCCCAATCATATCCTGAAGCAGCAACAGGGTCACCACTCGCCCCAGCAGCTCCCACCCCATCTGCCTCTGCCTCCGCTTGTTCACCTGTTAGCGTTGCTGCACCGGATATCTTTGCCCCTGCCACTGATGCTGCTGCTTTTCCCAACAATGCAGTCCTTGCAGCCTGCTCCAAGTGAGCTATCGCACTCATCTCCTCACCAGTACCAGCACCACCAGCACCACTACCAAAAGCAGCACCAGATACCACCTCTCCTCCGTTTTCCACTATTTCTGCATCGTCCCCTTCCCCTCTAACCCCCCTAACCCCATTAATCTCCCACTCTCTCTCATCCGGACCTGGCCCACCCGAACCTCCATCCGGACCGAACGCCCAGCCCGGACCTGCGCCGAACCTCCTCGCAGCCTCGAGTGGCGGTTCCAGGTTCGGGAGAACGCCGGAGCTGGCAGCTAGGGACGGCATGGTGCCCACAGCACAGGGCACCCAGTTAGCCGCAACCCTCCACCTAATTCTGGGAAGGTTCCTTTCAACAAGATTCCTCCCTTTCTTGCCAGCCGCTCTTGTTCCGCCTCCCCATTTCCTCTTCCCCCTCCCCCCTTTTACTACCTCCCTTTTTCCAATCTCCCCTCTCCCGTTTTCCTTATTTCTTGTCCCCACAACCACAACCCCTCTCTTCACCACAACTCCATGCCCCGTGCCACTTCTCGCCCGAACCACTTGCTCGATTGTACTCAGTTCCCTCTCCATCTCCCTCAGAAGCTTCTCAGTTCCTTCCTCGAAATCTGTCCCTTCCACCTCCTCCACTTCTGCCTCCTCCTCCTCGCACCCCCATATCCCCACTCCTTCACGTCCTCCTCCCGCTTCCCCATTTGTCCCCCTCTCTCCTCCCTCTCCCTCCCCTGCCCCTGCCCCTGCTCCCACTCCCTTTCCCCCTCGCCTTTGCTTCCCCCGCCCACCTCTCTGCTTCTCCGCCACTTCCCCTCCTCGTTTTGCACTATGAACCCCTGCTTTTCCAGCCGTCTCAAACCCCTCTTTTGCACGCCAAGTCCCTCCATTGAGCCCCAAGCCCTGCTCACTCATACTCACGTCACCCATGAACCCCCCTCCACCCCACACTTCCAGTGCATTGTCTGCGAGCAAATCCCCCTCTAACGCACCGCTCGCCATAAGCACGTCACCGCTCGTCACCAGAATCTCTCTCAACCGTTGCGAATGACCCAACCAGGAAACAGGAAATGCACCCGCTGCTGCTACCCCACCACCGTCACATGTAACCACACCAGGCGCGATAGTAGGGTAACCAGCAGAGCCAGCAGCAGGACCTGCTGCCCCTCTCTCCTCCCACCACTCCACCAACCCGTGCCTCACTAGCTGCTGAATGCGCCAGCTCATCTCCGCCCCCCTCCCTTTGCTCCTTTTCGTCCCCTCCCCCCCTCCTTTACTCTTGCCTCCACCAGATCTACCTCCCTGAGACCCATCTCCTCCACATCCACCCTTCCCCTTCCGCTCGTCCCCCTCCTCTTCTTCCTTCTGGATCATCCGGTCAGCGAGTGCAAGTGCCACGTCAGCAAGCACATGTGGCAGGCGGGGACAGGAGGGGAGGGCGTGCAGGCAGCGCGTGGCGCAGCGGGCGAGGAGAGGCAGAGGGAACCACTTGCCGTGCGATGGGGACGAGTCGTGTGATGAGGTCCTGTGTGTTGGTGGGTCTGTGCCACCCAGATCGAAATCGATATCGTCCTCTTCCTCCCCCCAGTCTTCCTCTTCTTTGAGCTCCTCATCTTCGTCGCCTTCTTCCTCTTCCTCTTGTTCCTCCTCCTCCTCCTCTTCATCCTCCTCTTCCCCTTTCTCCTCCTCTTCAGCCTCTTGTTCTGTCTCCCCACCTGATCCGTCCTCCATCCTATCCCCATAAAATTGTCCTTTCTTCTCCCCTTCCCCTTCCACGTCCCCTTCCTCCTCCTCCTCTTCCTCCCCCTCTTCCATCTCCTCCTCCTCCTTCCCTCCCGGCCCTCCGCACTGTCTCCCCACCACCACTTTTTGCACTGCCTTTATCATCCCTCCTCTCTGTCCATCCCCCTTCTCCTCCCCCTCTTCCTCCTCCAACTCCCCTTCCATAAGCAACCACTCCAAACACTGCATAATCTCCCTCCACTCCTCCTCATCCCTCCATCCCCCTTCCCCTCTCACCCCCTCCCTATCCTCTCCCCCACCACCCATCCCCTCACACATCCTCTCACCACCCGTCCACACCTCATTCCCCTCACCACCCACCCCCCTGCTCCCGCCCCTCACAACCACCGCTATAAGCTCATTCACTATATGTGACAGTAACGCAGCTGGTAACCCTCTTATATGATCCAACACCTCCCAAACCGCCTCTTCTAACCCTTCCAAATCTTCCCCTCTTTCCCCTCCCCCTCCTCCCCCCGTTTGTGCCCCACTTTCCTCACCCACACCGCCAAAACCACCCTTATCCGCGCTATAAGCAGCATTCACGACTCTCCTAAGCTGCCTCAGCAGCAGAGCGGCGAAATCGCCCATGGACCGCTCTGCACACCTCCGTAACTCTCTCAACTGCGCGTTCCTCTGCCTGGCCGGGTGCTGCATGTGCTTCCCCACCATAATCGAATCATCAGGCTCAGACGCTGCTGCGAACGCCAACGTCGCAGCAGCAGAGTCAGCAGCAGCAGAATCAGCAGCAGCACCAGCATCACCACCACCAGCAGCAGCAGCAGCAGCATCACCGGCAGCAGCAGGTTTGGGGCTGGCAGGAAAGCTGCGCTTAGCATTAGCATTGGCATTAGCGCGGGCAGCAGCAGTGTTGGTGGTGGCAGAGAGTCGCCTGAAGGAGGAGAACTTGCCCTCCGCATCCTCGCTGCTTGCCGCCAGCATGGCCGCCTGTCTGCTCCAGTAGTTGCTCACGAGCCAACCAAGAGCCTGGGGTGAGAACAAGGGGGAAGGGGAAGGGGCAGAATGAGAATGAGAGCGTGGGCAGCAGAGCGGGCAGTGGTGGTGGTAACAGACAATGAGTCGTCTGAAGGAGGAGAACTTGCCCTCCGCATCCTCGCTGCTCGCCGCCAGCATAGCAGCCTGCCTGCTCCAATAGTTGCTCACGAGCCACCCCAGGGCCTGGGGTAAAGAGAGGAGAGAAGGGGAGGTAAGGGGAAAGAGAGGAATGAGAGAGAGTGTGTGTGTGTTGCTCCTCCCTCTGCATCCTCGCTGCCTGCTGCTAGCATGGCCGCCTGCCTACTCCAGTAGTTGCTCACTAGCCAGCCCAGCGCCTGGGGTGGAATGGAGAACAAGGGAAGAGGGTAGGGAGAAGGGTAGAATGATAAAGATAGGTGTGCTAAGTGCTCGTTGCCTGCTGCTAGCATGGCCGCCTGCCTGCTCCAGTAGTTGCTCACTAGCCAGCCTATGGCCTGTGTGGAGATGTGAGAATGGACCAAGGAAAGCGGGGGAAGGGAAGAGGAACAGAGCAGCTTCATCTGTCCCTTCCGTCCTTTAAGACGTCTCAAAAGTCGTCTCCAAGAACCATATGCTTTAAGACGTCTCAAAAGTCGTCTCCAAGAACCATATGCTCTGAGAAGTCTCAAAACACGTTCTTTAAGACATCTCAAAAATCGTCTTTGAGAACCAAATGCACCCTCCCTCCCAACTGAGTGACAGCCAGTCGCAGCACCAGCAGCTGCAGCAGGAAAACGCCCCTTCTTTTTCCTCCCCTCCCTATCTCCCTCTCTCCCTGTCCTCCCTCCCACTCCTCCTGCTTCCCACCCTTCCTCCTGCATCCCACCCTTCCTCCTGCACTGACTCTCTTACTTCCTCTCTCACATCTCAACCACTCGCCACAAATCCCCCCCCTTCTCCTTCTCACCTGAGTGACAGCCAGTCGCAGCACCGGCAACTGCAGCAGGCGATTGTGGGCCAGCGCTGGGGAGGGGAACGGGGAAGGAGAAAGGGGAGGGGAAGGAGAAAGGGGAGGGGAAGGAGAAAGGGGAGGGGAAGGAGAAAGGGGAGGGGAAGGAGAAAGGGGAGGGGAAGGGGGAGCGGAAGGGGGAGCGGAAGGGTAATGAGAAGGGGAATGGGGACGGGAATTGGAAGGAAAGGAAGCAGGTGCACGGGGAGATTCAATACTGACGGTGGCAACCAGTGTCAAAGTGACTGTTCAAATCAAACTGTGTCGGAATGGACTCCATTCCACTCTAGTAACTGCAAGGCAAGGCTGGTGGGTGGACCACAGTTGCCACGGTGTAGCGGAGCGGAGTGTTGCGCTGCTGAGACCACCAGCCTTACAGTGCAGTGCCTGGCGTCTAGCAGCAGTACTTTATGTCGAATCAGAAGAAGTCTTATTCATTACACCGGAAAAAAACAAATCATGAAATCAACCACTGATACTATGCCAGCCTTACAGTGCCTGACTGACGCCTACCAGCCGTACTTGAAGCCGACCAAAAGAAGTCTAACTCATACCACTGAAATTTTCATCACCCACATATACTGTGCCAGCCTTACAATGCCGCACGTCCACCAGCAGTCGCGGAATTCCCACGTGTGCCGCCACCCTTACCACTGACCGACCCAGGGCTGGATTGCGGTTGTCACACAGACCACTCACAAACCTACACGTGGCAGGGCATGAAAGAAGTGTGGGAAGTACAAAAAAACAAGTTACTAAGAAAAAAAACGAAGGAAAGATGACTCACGACCCCTCATGACCCCTCATGAGCACTCATGACCCCTCATGAGCACTCATGACCCCTCCTGACCACTCATGACAGCTCATGACCACACATATTCACTCATAGATCCTCCTGAATACAACCCTACATGTGGCAGGAATCAGGTTGCTGCACAGAAACGCTCGGCACTCACATCACATGCAAATGGTACAAGACATGCGAATACACATGCTGTGCCAGTGTGTACGCAGTGTGTGGTTTGCTATGGCTGGCCGACTGACTGACTGACTGACTGACTGACTGACTGACTGACTGACTGACTGACTGACTGACTGACTGACTGATTGACTGACTGACTGGCTGCCTGACTGACTGACTGACTGACTGACTGACTGACTGACTGACTGACTGACTGACTGACTGATTGACTGACTGACTGGCTGCCTGACTGACTGACTGACTGACTGACTGACTGACTGACTGACTGACTGACTGACTGACTGACTGACTGACTGACTGACTGACTGACTGACTGACTGATTGACTGACTGACTGGCTGCCTGACTGACTGACTGACTGACTGACTGACTGATTGACTGACTGACTGGCTGCCTGACTGACTGACTGACTGACTGACTGACTGACAGGCTGGCTGACTGACGGACTGGCTGAGGACTGACTGACTGACTGACGGACTGACTGATGGACTGGCTGACTGACAGGCTGGCTGACTGACGGACTGGCTGAGGACTGACTGACGGACTGACTGGCTGGCTGACGGACTGACTGGCTGATTGACTGACTGACTGACGGACTGAATGGCTGACTGACGGACTGACTGGCTGACTGACAGACTGACTCACTGGCTGACTGACGGACTGGCTGGCTAGCTGACCGACCGGCTGACCTGATGACCACGGCAAACGGCACCGCGTGACATGGCATGATGGCACAGCGTGTGTTGGACTAAGCCTAGGGATGACTGACTGACCTGATAATGACAGCAGCATATGATTGGCGGAGCACGAATGGAGGGAGCGGAGGCACCGCGTTGGGGGGCCTGAAACAGGAAGGAGTGAATGGGATGAATGTGGGAACCCATCCGTGCCATGTGGAAGGGAGGGAGGGAGGGATCTAGAGATAGATTCTAAACCCAACCCAAGCCCATGTGGGGCGGCCTGAAAGGGGGGGATGGACGGGACACGATGAATGTCGGAACCCATCCATGCCATGTGAATGTGAAAGTGGAAGGCAGGAATCTAGAGATGGGTTCTAGACCCGAAACCCATGTGGGGTGCTACGGCAGTGGGAGTGGGGGAGGGAGGGAGGGAGGGAGGGAGGGAGGGAGGGAGGGAGGGAGGGAGGGAGGGAGGGAGGGAGGGAGGGAGGGAGGGAGGGAAGGAGGGAGGGAGGGAGGGAGAGGGAGAGGAGAGAGTGGGGCCACCCGGAAAGCCAGAATGCCAGCATATTGTTCTCTGGTGTGTATCCCAAAAAATTTCTCCGCTCAATGCCCTTCCCAACCGCTCTAGAACGCAAAGCACCTCACTCAGCCCCAATCAAATGAACTATCTGGACACGTCCTGAGCGTAGCCCCTCCGACAGCACCCATTCCAGACCTACGTCACCCGAACGTACAGCTCCGGACCTGCACCCCCGAACCTACATCCTGAACTTGCATCCCTGAGCCTACCAGAGGTCCGGGTCCTGCAGCTTCACGGCAAGCATGCCAGCTGTCACGTCCACAGAGGCCGGAACCCGGCCCCTGATCTGCCATGCTGCCACCTGGCAGGCCGAAGGGTGGACCGAATCCCACGAAGGGTGTGGAGGGGGGGGGGGGGGGGGGGGGGGGGGGGGGGGGGGGTGGGAAGGTGGGGAGGGGAGGAGGAAGGAACAGAAATCGAGATCTCGTCATTTGAGTCGTCTTTCAGAAGTGGGGGCAATCCCAAGGGTTCGGTGCAGCGGAAGGAGGGGTTCAGGGTTTAGCTGCTTGAGATTTATCAAACCTGACAGACATAAAAGAGGAGATAACCGCAAGGGTGGGGTGTAGGGAGGGAACGGGGTTTGGGGTTTAGTTCTTGAGAAGTCTCAGCACGCATTCCCTCCCCGCGTCCTATTTTTTTCCTGGACGGTTAATGCTATAACGGGCGCCTTACAAGATTGCGAGTAGCGGCAACGACCCAAGCTTACAGAATGCGATAACGGATCGCGGGTCTGCTATCGCGTGTGATATTGATAGCGGATCGAAAGGATATGGGCTCGCGAGTAGACCTCACCGCCTCTCACTCCTTGCAGGACGCCCACGAGACGCGATAACGAGTAATGCTACTACGGGGGAGGATATTAGCGGAATAACGGTACACCTACCCGGTCGATCCCGAAAGATATCGATTCGCGCGTAGCGGCGGGGCCCAGCAGGCTCGACCTCACCGCCTCCCACTCCTCCCACGAGGCCCATGGCACGTGGCGCAGCGCTAGAGACATTACGCTAACCTGCAACGGATGCTGCTTTAAAGGATGCCGTGAGATCCGGGGATGAGATTTCTAACCTTCTTCTAGTGATGGTCTAGCACAAAACAATTAGAGTTTAATCATGGTGTTTCTTCATGGCAGTTCGACTCGATTGCTCTAATTCCCCTGTGCTACACCCAGTGTTCCCTGAGATGAAGGACTGGACTTAGCAAGCGGGTAAGAAATTAAGAATAACGACGTGCCACTGTCGAGCGAGAGAATCAGGGTCCAGAAAATGTGGCGGCGGCCCAGCGGGATATGGCAAGGGTGACAGCAACATCGCGTTGCCCCTGGGCCAAGGGTTTGGAATGGAAGTTGGAAACAACACCATGGACGGAGGACGGCATGTGCAGGTGTAAGAAGACGCGCACGGTTTAATCAGTGTTTAGGAAGGTGAGGAACGTTGCAAGTGCTTTTCGGTATCTAATAAACATTGCAAAAACACACATCATCCCGCTTGGTTGTTGGTTAGTCATATAAATTAGATTCTTCAGCTACACATTTAGCAGGAATCTCAAGCAGAGTAGATTTGAACTCAACAGCACAAGGCTGCACACAGAAGGGGAAGAAACTGAATTTTACCTCTATAAAGAAAGACTCAATATATTCACAGCATAGGTACCATACTCCCTTAACAACAGATCCAGGTGGCTTAGGAAGCCTTGAATGGAAAATAACACAAGGAAAGAAAAGAAGGTACTGTACACTAGCTTTCCATGCAGTAAAATCATAACCGCACGGAGGTGCTTCCCATCGTAATCAAACCTAATACCCACTCCAAGAGGGGCCATCATCCATAGACACCCGAATAAAAAGGACTAGAGTGCCGCTGAGCACAATGAAGGCCGCAAGTGTGAAGAGAGTGGCTCCAAGAGTTATGAGATGACCGTGGTGGAGGATGAAGGGGATTGCAACACTGCCAATCTGAGGGGGTGTTAAGGGGTGGTGGTGTAGGGAAGTGAAGAGGCAAGCGGCAACACTGCCAATGTGAAGGGGGTTGAGGTTTGGAGGTTGGGTGAAAGAGGTAGCAAGAGGCAAAAGCATCTAACATGGCCTGAGGTGACTTTTGAGTCGACTCAAAAGTCACCTCGAAAGAGGTAGCAAGAGGCAAAAGCATCTAACATGGCCTGAGAATCATGAGGTGAGGAACCTGGCTGCTTGCATGTCCAGCGGTCAGTGGGCAACAGAAGCAAGGGGGTCGGGGGCAACAAGGGGGGAGGGGGCGGAAAGGGCGAACTTACCGAAGAAAAGCCAGTGAGGAACTTGGCTGCATCTTGCCATCTGGTGGAGAGAGAAAAGGGGTACAGGAGAGAGATGGAGTACGGTCAACAGGGGTGACGTAGAGGGATTGGGAGGAAGGAAGAGGAAGAAGGGTGAATCGTGGTAGCAGAGGTGAGAGAGATAAAGGGAGAGATGGAATGACGAATTGCCCAGTATCTACGCGCACACACCACAATCACTTGCATCACACACACTACAGCCCCACTCAGTACAATCACACTCGTTACAGTACCACTCACTCGTTATCCGTGCCCATGAGAAAGAAGTCGGAGGAGTCACCAGTAGAAAAGAACAGGCATGGCATGGGCAGTATCAGGTACATGAGCGCTGGGGGGGTGTAGAGGGGTAGAGAGGAGTGGAGAGGGGTGTTGAGGGTTTGTGGCAAGGCATTAGAGGCATGGCATGGGCAGAATCAGGTACATGAGAGCTGATGATGCATGGGGGAATGGTGGGGGAGGAAAGCTATGAAGGAAGCGGAGAGGAAGAAATGGAGGGCTCAGAAAGGGGAGTGAGGGTGCGTTTTTGGCCTGGAAAGAGGCATGGCATGGGCAGTATCAGATACACCAGAGCTGGGAGAAGAGATGTATGGGCAAGGGGTGGGGGGGTGGGGGGAGAGGGGGGTTGGGGGGTTCAATACAGAAGAAGCAGTGGCAGTCAGGCACATCCGAGCTGGGAGGGAAGTCGTACGGTGGGGGAGTGGGGGGAAGAGGAGGCGGCTCAGAGAATACTTTTGAGGCGCCTCAAATTCCACCTCAGAAGAGGCAAGCAGTGGCAGTCAGGCACATCCGAGCTGGGAGGGAAGTTGTACTGTGGGGGAGATGGGGGAAGAGACGGTGGGGAGAAGACTTGGCATTGACCTAAAAAGCGGCACCGAATTGGCAGTATCAGGAACGGGGGTGTACAGGCACGGCATGGCATACGACTCAAGAGGGGTGTAATGTCAGGTCCTATGTCATGTATCAGAGACATGCGATGCGAGCATTGTACCCGAAATCATTGGCAGTAGTATCAGGTACATGCGAGCGGGCATATATGTTGGTTGGGTAGGGGGATGATTTTTTAGGCGCCTGTATTGCGGTTTGAGGCAAAAGAGGGATGGCATGGCATGGCATGGCATGGCATGGCATGGCATGGCATGGCATGGCATGTGTGGTGGCAAGATGCTGGGCCGGGGATGGTGGGGCAAGGAGAGGGGAACATGAAGGAGGGGCGGTAAGGGAGAAAATCAGTGATTGGGCATTGTACCTGAGAGCATTGGCCACCAGTTGTTGTAGAGAACACATCCCAGCAGCTGCAAGCCGATGCCCACTGAGAAGAGAAACGCCAAACCTGCGAGTCTGAGGAGAGTGAGTGGAGGGAAAAGAGCGAGGAGAGAGTGGAGAGAAAAGAGTGAGGAGAGATTGGAGAGAGAAGAGTGAGGAGAGATTGGAGAGAGAGGACTATGCAGCTGTAGAAAGAGAATGAAAAGCATATCAGAAGCAGAAACAGGCGGAGAAGGGGAACAGCAAGAAAGCAAGCGCGCCCAGAGCCGGGCGTTATCAGTTCTTGTGTGAAGCGATGCAAGTGGACAGCACAGGAGAGAACCGCGTAGAGGAGTTGAATTGAGGCTTGTAGGAGAGCAGAGGACGGCGGAAATTGAGATGGAAGAGATACGAGAACGAGAAGGAGACAGGACGTCGGGGTTTGTACGAAGAGGACGAAGACGAAAGAGGCAAGAGGGGGACAGCGGAGCAGGAAAGCAAGTGAAGGGTGATGGAACAGAACTCACGCTGAGAAGAGACCGGGAGGTGGCGAAAGCAGGTGGGAACGCGTGGAGGTAGTCATAACGCGTGGAGGGGAGTGGGGGAGGAGCGAAGGCAGCGGGAGCAAAGAAGGAGAAGGAGCGACAGGACAGAGGGACAGAAGGAGGGTGCAAGGACACGCACAGACGCAGCAGGGGGATAAAAAGGGATTGATGAAGTAGACGGATAGTGATGAGGTAGACAGGTGGCATGGGTATGTTGAGCGAGGGAGGGGAGGGAGAGGTGGAATGGGTACGAGCGAGGGAAGGGTATGGTGGGCTGAAATGGGGAGGGACTGATACGAGTAAAGGGATTGGTGGAGAAAACGGAATGTGATGAGGAAGTCTGGTGGCATGGGTACGGGCGAGGGAGGGGAGGGCGAGGCGCCTAACAAAAAAACGGGATGGACGATGGTGGGGTGGACAGATGGGTAGGTAGACAGGTGGGATGGGTATGAGCGAGGGACGGGAGGGAGGCAATGGTGTTTCTGAGGCGCCTTAAAGAAACCGGATGAATGATGGTGGGGTGGATAGGTGTGCAGGCAGACAGAAACGTGGCGTGGGTATGAGCGAGGGAGGGCGATGGTGGGCTGAAAGGGAGGGATTGATGCGAGTAAATATTTTTTGAAGGGGACGGATGGCCACAAGGTGGATAGGTGGCATGGGTATGAGCGAAGGAAGCGAGGAAGGGGTATGGTGGTGGGTTGGTAAACAATGATGCAGGGGAGCAAATGGATTGTTGAAGGAGAGAACAGATTTCCGAAAATTTTCAAAAAAATCGCTCCCTGGCTGGAGTGTTGAATGGAGTGTTGGCTGGTGGTGGAAATTTTCATGGTAACTGGTTAGTCGAGACAGCCTTACCGCCCGTCGTCACGGCCATATTGGCGCGCTTATAGCGACTCTCGCAGTGGGGTTGACGGCAAACTGAAACGTCTATGTCGACTTAACGGATTGCGGTAAGCTGAACTTTCCACGTCCAGGCGAAAGGAGGAAAGGCACCAAACAATTCCTAGAAAAGTAAAATGATATCTTTTGATAAGTTGGGTACTATAATGACGAGACGAGGAACGGCTGCCGTCTGAGTCGACTCGAAAGGTACGAGGAGTTAACCTAATCACTCGACTCCACCTATTCAGTCGGAACAAACCAGGAAATTACAGGGCTATCACACGGAATACGCGGAACGGATATCGCGAAAGAACGTATTTCACGAGGTAGCTACGGCACGTATTGTAGTCGCTGAATTCCTGACACCAATGGCTGCTCCTGCTACTACTCCTGCTACTACTCCTGCTGAGTCTTCATTGCTATTTGAGCTACTGCTGCAGTTGCAAGAAGCTGGTTTCAGCAGCAATTTCGTTCTTTCAACTCGTCGTCGCTCTCGCACACCTGCCAGCACGCAAAAACGGCGCGACGAAGTTTCGCGAAACAATTACATCTGCCCCCCTCATTGAACTGTTACGAAGGACAAAGGAAACAATAGAGAGAAAATATGGTTCCGAATATTGGTTTATATACTAGACATACCATTTACAGTAACACTTCAATTATGTCACTAAAAAAAATAACACAGCATGGAGCAAACATCTTAACAACTAAAACCCCTTCCGCGAGGCAACTCTAAGAAAAAACTGCTCTGACCCTCTTACTGTTGTTTACACTCAGGGGGTTGCTCGCCTGCTGCTCCAGCTGCTCCTGCTGCCTTCATCCCCTTCGTCCCTGCTTTCTGCCACAATGGTCAGACACAATAACGCGACATAAGAAACGTCACAACCAAACAAAAAGATGGCAAAAACAGAAACGGCACAGGGATGTGTGCAATGTAACAACCTGAAAAAGTAGATGGATATTATGGTATCCGGAATGAGGCTCTACAGATGGTTGCTCATGAAATTCACAACCCAAAACGCACCCTTCCGCGAGCAGGCCTCGGGTGGTCGTCCTCGTCATCATCATCCTCATCCTCATCATCGTCCTCGTCGTCCTCATCATCCTCATCATCCTCGTCATCGTCCAAATCCTCCAGGTCAGCAGCCTCCCCGGTGTACCAGGAGACAGCATGTGGAATGATCTTCTCCCTCAGGGTAGACCTGGTGGAAAGGAATCATAAGACATAAGAAAGTGAGTATGAGTGAGTGAGTTAGTGAGTGTGAGAGTGAGATGAGAGTGAGTGGTTGAGGGAGTGAGTGAGTGAGAGTGACCGAGTGTGAGAGTGAATGAGTGGGTGAGTGAGAGTGAGTGGGTGAGTGAATGAGAGTGAGTGTGAGAGTGAGTGTGAGAGTGATGCAGTGAGTCAATGAGTGTGTGTGTGTGTGTGTGTGTGTGAGAGAGAGAGAGAGAGAGAGAGAGAGAGAGAGAGAGAGAAGCAAAGAACTCACCCCACATCGTAGTCCTGCTCCATCATCTCCTGCAGCTCCTCCGCCTGCCATTGATGAAGCGAGGGGAGGCAGCAAGAGAGAGACAGCCAATGAGACACGATAAGAGAGGGAGACTAGGCGGGCACACCCCACGATAAGGGGGGAGAGCGGGGGGAGGAGTGGAGAGGAGAGGGTGAGAATAAGAGAAACAAGGTGGTGCCGGGGGTGCAGAGCACGGTGGGGTGCAGCGGAAGGAAAGGTGAAGGGCTGCGGAAGAAATGTGGTAAGGGGGACGGGAGGGGGGAGAGGGGAGAGGGTAGCAGGGAGAGGGGCGAGGGGCGAGGGGAGAGAGAAAGGAAGGGGGGCCCTGTGTGTGGCTCACCTCCTCTTCGTCCAGCTCCTCGTCCTCGGTGGGCACGGCTGGCGGGCTGAAGAAGTTAAAGAAGCTCTCGCATGGCTCTGTCTTAGTGATGGGCTTGCTGCTCTTGGCGCCCTTCTTCGGCTTCTTCTTCATGATCTTCTGCGTCAGGTTCTTGCCCGCGTTCCACTCGATCTCCGTGCTGCGTTTTTATGAATGAGCAGCGGAGAGCAATGGACGGACAGTGGGTGTGAGAGAGGGGAAAAAGAAGAAAAAAACAAAGGGCACAGAGCAATGCAAACAGTTTGTTTAGGAAGGGATAAACTTGGCAACGCTCAGACCTTCTAAAGAGCCGACACATGCAACAAAAAAGGAAGGAAAGCAAAGCAACTCACCCCTCGGCCTTCTCAAGAATCGGCTCTTCCTCGTCGATCATGAAGTATGACTTGGTGAGCTGAAGGGGGTGGTGGGGTTGTGGGGATAGGGAGGGAGAGGGGGTGGAGTGGGAAGAAAAAAGGGAGTGAGCCTGGGAGGAGAAAGGAGAGGAGCAACGAAGTAGGACTTTATGAGCTGAAAGGGTGGTGGGGAACGGAGAGGGGGGGGAGTGGGGGAGGGGGGGAGGAGTGACAGAGGGGGGGGATGAAATTGGGGAAGGAAGCAGAGAGGCAAGGAACATGTTGGCTCCTCGTATTTGATCATAAAGTATGACTTAATGAGCTGAAGGTGTGTGAGGAGCGGGAGAGGGGGGGGAAGGGGGAGTGAGCCTGGGAAAAGCAAGGAGAGGGGCGACGAAGTATGACTTCGTAAACGGGTGGTGAGGAAGAGTGGGGGCAGGTGGGTGGGTGGCGGGAAGTGAGCCTGGGAGGAGTGGGTCAGAGAGTGAAGGTGGTGTGGTGGTGGAGGGGAGGGCAGTGTGAGGGCTAGAAAAAATGTGGGAGGCAATGAAAAAGACTGGCTCCTTTTAGTTAATGACAAAGTGACCTCGAAAGTAAAACGCCAGCCCAGCACGGCTGGGTGGCGAATGGTGGACGTACCACTTCATTCTTGAAGTAGGGGTTGGGCGTGAAATGGAACTCCAGCTTGAAGCCCTGGAATCGTAGAGCAAAGACAACAGCACAGGATTAACAGAGATAATATCCAACGAGAGGCGATAGAAATGGATATCCAATGCAACAAGTGGCACAAAGCCGGATAACGAGGCCGAGGTGTTACCGTAGTCCGTCACATATAAATAACCTCCTAACCTCATACAAGCCCCTCTAAATCCCAGTGGAATCGTCTAAAACCCTCCAGGCCTCTGGCACCCTAAACCCTCAAACCCGAACTCGTGTGTGTCAGTCATTACTCTCCGCACTAACCCTGAGCTCCTCCCCCACTTGAGACCATCTAGTATCTTCAATGTACCTGAGAGAACAGGCACGTCTTTCACTTGCTGCAGTCTAAGATTCCAGCAACTCAACCCGAAGCCCATGAACGAGCTGACCTTCATTACCACCCCGCCCTGACCTTGAGCTCCTCCCACAGTTGCGACCACCGGATGTCCTTGAGAGGTACTTGAGAGCACGCCCGCCTCTTGCCACCTATCGTCTAATCTGAGAGGTTCCAAACACTCAAACCCGAAACCCTTGTCTGACTTGACAGTTATTACCCCAGCGCACTGACCTTGAGCTCCTCCCCCAGTTGCGACCACCGGATGTCCTTAAGGTGCTTCAGTGCAGGCTCGTCCCTCGCTGTGATCTGACATCCCAAACAGACACGTGGACAGGCAAATGGGTGCCACATACAGATACTCAGTATATCACTACAGAAAAAGTATGTACTATGGCATGGAAAATCAAAACCCCAGTACCAAAACGGGTTGGAAAAGCGCGTATGGCAAGCATGGGAAGCTAGAAACATATGAAACTGATGCTGTAGTAATAATATTAGGAACAATAATAACAATAGAAGCAACCATGATTACCTGCCCTAGTTTGCAATGTTCTCCCCACGTTTGCATAACTAGGCCGCTCACCTGCTCTGCCAGGATCTCGTTATTCTTCATGGCAGTGAGCCAAAACTCAGGAACACCTGAACGCAACCGGGGAAGAACAGAGGGGCACACAGCACACAAACCAAACCAAGGAAACGGAGAAGAAGGGGGCCAACCTTGAAGGGCCTTCATGGCAGTGACCAAAACTTTGGGCACTTTTGAACGAGGCCAGCACGGGAAAGGAGGAGGGGAGCAGGGGAGGGGGGGGGGAATGATACTGGGTTTATTCATGTACGGATAACAAAACACATTGCTTTTCTTCACCCAGCACAGCACACACATCTTTCCAGACTAAGCTTCTCCACCCTCCTGCTCCATTTTCGGCAGCTAGAGCCACACCGCTCCAACCTCAGCCATTTCCAACCCAGTCCAATCCACAGCACCGAGCTCAGCCGCAACTCACCCTTCTCAACCTCGGCTCCGGCCTCAGCAGCGGGGGCCTCAGCGCCTTCCGGCTCCTTGTCTCCCGCCACAATCTCAGAGCGCTGGAGGTAACGAGGGTGAGAGGGGGGTTAAAGGATGTGAGAGGCTGAAGAGCGTGGAGGTTGAACAGGATTAGAGGGAGTTACGGAGGGTAAAAATTAACCGAAGGTCAGGGTTTACAGCGGGTGGGGCCCTACACAGAGGGTCAGGGTTTACCGAGGGGGTAATTGAGGGTCAGGATTTGCAGAGGGGTGAAAGATCCACAAGCGGAACGAGGTTCATGGCCGAATTTAATCCGCATTACAACGAGCAGAAGCCGCGGCCGTTTATCCCCACTTGGTTGTGAACCACCTTTTAAAGCACCTCAAAACGATACGCGTTATAGCGAGCAGCAGCACAACAATCTATCCTCACCTAGTTGTAGAGCGCTCGTACAGCTTCCGGTACTTGGCCTCCAAGGCCGCCTTCTAAGGAACGTCTAAACGATACGCGTTATAGAGTAGATCCTCACCTGATTATAGAGCGGCTCGTACAGCTTCTGGTACTTGGCCTCGAGAGCCGCCTTCTCCTCCAGAAACTTCTCCTTGAGCTCGTCGTGCGATTTCTGCTCCCAGCACAGGAACACAGGAGGGGAACCGGGGGGGGAGGGGACACGGAAGAAGGGCGGAGGGACGATGAAGGCGCATCCCGAGGGACTTAACATCACAGTTCCGCCTTCTCCTTGCGCTCGTCGAGCGATTTCTGCACCCACCACAGGAACGGAATGGGGGAAGTGTTGGGGGAGGAAGGTGGAGGGGAGGGGTGGGTGGACGGACGCTTTCACATCATTGCCCTCTCTTATCCTCGAGACACTGCTCCTTCTGCACGGAACAAAGAAGTGGTAGAGGAGATAGGGTTATGTGGGGTTCGAGGAGGAAAAAACCGCACACCATCACACGATCAACAGCGGTCTTCTCCTTTGAATCTTTCTCGTTGATCTCTTTAGTCTTGTCGTAAAAAGCGGCCTTTTGCTTACGCTTCGCCTTCACGCTTTGAAAGCCATAGTTACTCTGAGAGCACATAATCCTCCCTGCAAAACCTCACGCGATTGCTGCAGCGTCGGCGCGGATCCAAACCTAGCGCGTTCAGAGACGACCTATATATATATATATATATATATATATATATATATATATATATATATATATATAATATTTTTTAAACGAGTTGCATGAGGCACCAGCATGATTCATGTTATTCCCAACATGTGACAAACAACGGTACGAGTAACGACAAACGAAGTAACGATCACTTCGGCCGCTAAGAGGATCCGCACCTGGATCTCCTGTAGAGCAGTGACACGTGTGCGGACAGCTGGCGAGAGGCCGGCGAGGAAGTTTTGCGTCATGAGGGTTTCCAGTTTGTCCTGCCACGGCAATCGAAGAAATTTAGACGAAAAACAAAGACATCACGTAGGTGAGCAGGGAACAAGATGATAAAGCAAAGAGGTAGCCGAAAGAAACAAACTATCAGATGGGTGAGATGCGATCACATCTTGCGTCATCAACAAGCATAAATAATCTTCTTGAGAACCATGCTTGAAAACCCTAAGGCTTGATTTCCAAAATCAAATTATATTCCTCACCATTCCTGAATCCTGCGCCAATGATCGTGTTGTGGTGGCCAGATCGCGTGTTTCTCATCCCGTTACTATGCTTCTAAATTTACTTCGTTTATTCAAACTCATTTCAAAATATCCTCATTCATTTTCAACAATTCTATAAGTTTTTTGGTACTTCATTCACCTGGATCGAGCTGACCAATTCGGCGCGAGCTTCGTCGGTTAACCCCGCTCCCCCTGAAACGATAGAAAGTAGACCGAAGAATTCGACGATTATGTCAAGACAACAACGAGGGCGAAATCATCATAAAAGTGACAAATCCACGCCACGGAACATGGGATGATATCATTTCGCGTTCGACGTATCATTTGTAGACTAGCCTAGATCGACGTCGGCACGACGTGTTACAAAAGCAACACCAAAACGCAGGAGGAGGGAAACAAATAACGGAAAATTACCTGAAGGAAGAGCAGCAGCGATATCTGACAGGTCCATCTTCTTCTCGTCTCCGCTCATGGTTCTAAACGAGTAAAAGACAAATAGATGTGCGAGGATCGTAGATTGCAAGGCAGACTACGTGAGATCAGGACTTGCGGACAGGTGAAGAATCCCGGATCGCTGATCCTGCTCGAGGAGAAGCTCAGAAAACAGCAGGACAGGGAAGAGAAAGAAGCACTGGACGATGGAAGAAGAAATATGAGTATGCGTTGCGCCAGAGTGTTGCCGACCTTTTAGTGCGGTTTGAAGGGTTTTCACACGGTATGAATGGCAACGGCTACACACCGTTTTGGACCGTAACGCAACAGACGAAACCGTGGTCCTATAACGCAAGCCACAGGTTTGTGATAGTTGAAGCGCGTATGCTTCAACTTCAAGTACTCGTATGGAAAAGTGTACTAACAACATTGTCTCTTTTACATTCTCAAGCATTGTAAATTTTTTTCCGACATTCCTTACTGCAAGCTTCAACATCGCGTACAGAAGCAACTGTTGTTCGCCCATTACTGCTAACGGGGCTTCGCCAACCTTCGCGCGCTGCATTTGCCAAACCATGCATCGCTGGCCAGGCCGGGCCGGCCCATGCTTCGAGGCTAGCCCGAACTACAATGTCAGCATCGCACTAGCTAGCTCGCACGCACCGCATAGCCGTTTGCATGTTTTCGTATAAGTATTTGCTCATGCCTTTGCTCATACTTTGTACTCGTTTGACACAATGCAATTCTCGCTACTTTGATTCATTGCACCTGTAACATTTGGCTATCAGAGCCACTTGCCTTTCGGACCGCGCATTTTTGTTTTCCGCAACCAACAGAACCCAACTTGTGATTTCCACTCGAAGGGACTCGCACCCCTTAGCGTACTAGGAGCCGCTGTCCTCGCGTCCTCGCGTAAACGTGTGCAACCACGAGTACGCCTAGCACCTAGACCGGTCGCCGCCCTTCGACATGGATTAACGTATTCACCTTACGACACTCTAGCAGGAGCGCCTTGACGAGCTGACACGCCAACTGCGCGAAAGCAGCAAAGAAATTGCTGCATTAACGGCATAACATACGGCACTGCAAAACGATGTCACACGGGCGCAACGAGTACAATTACAAATGCAAGGCACACGAGCACAAGGAGCACGACATCGTTGTGGGACGCGTGGTGCGTAGGTCTGCGCGCGAGATTCAATCCGATCGCGGCGTCGATCGCAACGCGACAGAAGCTCCGCACTTGGCGCCAGCTCGGTTCCGTCCAAGACTAAACTGGCGGTTTTATGGCACTCTGCGAGCAGGTGGGATACATGCATGAAGCCGAGCGCATCAATTGATGTCGGTAGCTTGAAAGGCGAAAATGCTTGCGCCGAAAATCTTGCTCCGCAACGTCACGGAGTTCAACGACATCCTCGCCATGGCAGAAAAGCTTGATTTTCTTCGCCGACCGAGACCGGGGTCCTACGGCAACAGCAGCAGCTGGGGATGAACGTGCACGCCACGATATGTATCGTCGCCGCAAATGCCGCTATCGCACCGGTCAAAGGGCGCTGCTTTGCGTGCAACAGGCCGGGGCACAGTGAGAGCGAATGCCCGGAAAACGCCAGGGGAAAGAGGGAGACGGGCTGCAGAAACAGACCAAGGAGTAGGGAAACACTAGGAGTTAGTAGCAGACGGGCCCTCTACTGACAGGTCATGCCGCTCACCCAACCCAACCGACCCTCACCGAGTGATTGTGCCAGTTCATGCAATCGACCACACCCGGCGGAAGAAAGAGGGTACTGTCAGAATCCCAGTCACTTGACCACTAGGATAAAAATGCTTGTTAAGTAGCGGGTCAGTGCGCCAATAACCTCCCTAGGCCAACATGCCTGTAACCGTTCCCTAGGATCAATCGGGGATCACCAGTGGACCTCTGACACCCCCCTGCACTGGGATGCTTGAAGTACACACACTGGGATTCAAACCTGAGACCTTTGCTCTGATACCATGTTAGAATCCCAGTCAGTAGACCACTGGGATAAAAGGGCTAGTTAAGTAGCGCGTAAGTGCGCCCATAACCCCCCAGGCCAACATGCATGTAACCCTTCCCTAGGATCAATCAGGGATCACCAGAAGACCTCTGACGTTAGACAACCCCATACTATTTAGCGGGAAAATTCACACCAGCTTAGTTAAAATCTTTGTAGACGGGGGGGCTAGCCACAACCCGAGCAATACCGCCAATGCACGGAGACCAAAACTAACACTCAACAGATGCTTATCTGAGATTGACGCGATAATGGTGGACGGCACACCACTGGCGACACGGGAACGCGTATACCGAGTTCGGATTTGTTGCGGGTAGCTTCACGTTTCCACAGGAAATGCTGGCGACGACCTTCGAAGGGACCGATTTTTACTCGGCCATGATTGGTTGTGACGACACAACCCACGAATCGACTGGACAACGGGTGACTGCACTGTGCGAGTGAACGATAATAACATTGTGTCACAAAGTAGGAAACGAGAATGACTAGAAACAGGACAGTACAAGGTTTGTATAGGCAAAACCTAACAGTACTGTATCCCATAAAGAGTGCCCCACTACAGCCTACAATATAGTTCTGACACACCCCGATAGGCAAAGTGGGGGACAAGCAAAAGAACAAAGCAAAGGTCAAGCTCAGGGTGGATCACGACGTCACCACGCATTCTGAGCACAAACAAAAGGCCACAAGGCCAGTTCACATGCAGAGTTATATAAAGAGGAGAACAAGTAGTACAGTGATCACAACCTAGCAAGTGTAAGCATGCAGGTGCAGGTATATAAAGATCATAGTACAAGCAAAGTCAAGAGGTGAGCAAGTGAGGCCAGGTAGGCACAAGACCTAACAGAGTACAAAAACGCTGATGATCACAAGGCTGAAGTGCCTTGGTAAAGATATCAGCAGTGTTGGCCCGAGTGGCCACGTAAGCAAGACGAAGCTGACCACGCTGCTGCAACTTCCAAGCAAGGAAGTAGCGCAGAGCAATGTGCTTCGTTCTGTGCTCCTAACACAAGGCAATCATGGCCTTGTTGTCGACGTACAGAACTGGAGGAGAACGAGGCGCCTCTCCCAAGTCGGTCAACAGGTAGGTAAGCCAACGTAACTCCTGTGCAGCCATGACCCCAGCGTAGATCTCAGCCTCCCAACTGGAGCTAAGAACAGAAGACGAGCGGGTAGACCGCCACGAAACGGAGCCGGAACCAAGGCTGAAGGTGTAACCCCGTGGCGTGTTAAGATTAAGGCTAGAACGAGGAGCCATAGCTAGGTAAGCCCTAGCGAGGCAAGTGAAAGTTTAGGCAAAGGAGGAGGGGTTTCACTAGCAGCAATGAGGATACATATAGCAGACCCTAGATGGGTTGTACTCGCTATAGAGCACCCCACTACAGGCTAGAGAATAACATTCTGACATGACGACCGCTGCGTAGCCAAGTCGTCAACACAAGAAGCGTCTGCGTGACCATTGAGGACAACTCAAGCCCGTCCTCCAAGCACGAGCCCCATGCCCGACGTACTGCACAAGTAGCGCAACACCGTCTTAGCTGCATCCATGTGCTCTGGTCGGTGTCTCCCAGGAGCAACATAGCGTGCTAGGAT